GCTGCCCATGCAGCTTCTCTAACATTTGATTGGTTGCCGTGCAAAGTAAGTCAAAACAGGTCGATCCTAGATAATCGATTGCTTGTGTAGACTTGGGGCAGCCAGGTATCCCAGAATGCAGATCAAATCACAGGCAGCAATGGTGGTGGTGTAGTTTTAAAATACCCCGTTTTTCTGTCACCAGCTACACTTTTAACAGTGTTTTAGCCGCGAATGTCGCGACGTATGTCTGGTCAGGTTGTCAACATAGAACATGTTTGCAAAAGTGCTCAGATGTTTTCAGAGATTTCACTAGCTCTGCTTTTTAATAGTTATTCAACTGTATTCTAAGGGGCGACTGTGGCTCAAGAGTTGGGAGTTCGCCTTGTAATCGGAAGGTTGCCGGTTCGAGCCCCGGCTTGGACAGTCCTGGTCGTTGTGTCCTTGGGCAAGACACTTCACCCGTTGCCTACTGGTGTGGCAGAGGGCCGGTGGCGCGTATGGCAGCCTCGCCTCTGTCAGTGCGCCCCAGGGTGGCTGTGGCTACAATGTAGCTGCCATCACCAGTGTGTGAATGAATGTGGATATTGTAAAGCGCTTTGGGTCCTTGGATAGAAAAGCGCTATATAAATCCACTCCATTATTATTATTCATTATTAAGGACTGTCTGTTAGAATGTGATTTTGTTCTGTCTCTTTTTTTTTGTTTTCTTTTTTTTTTTTTTTGCTTTTTCGGTCATGTTATGTTTACCTGTCAAAGGCTTGTTACAAACTATGAAACACATCGTGCAGACTTCTGGATGTTAGAAGAAAACTAATACTGCTCATGAAGGAGACTAAAGGCAGGAAGGTGTCCTTTAAAACTAAACATGTTAATAGGACCTCCCTATTTATATCATAGTTTATGATATAGCACGTGTATTTCAGTAATAGCCTGCTGATTTCAGTGTAGTGGTGAACAGTCACACAGCTCACGTAGGCGTTATCTGTGATACTCCTTAACTATAATTTATCCAAGTTAACTTCAGTTAACCATTCAGACAGTTCTTTTGCAATGAAAAACATAAACACCATGCTGCCGGTAGGTTTCCTCAGTGCCAGCTGTTAACATTATAGCTGCTTATGCAGTAACCATGGTAACCACGGACTCTGAGCGGCTGGATCGACGGAGGTCAGACAACAATTTTACATGTATGATCTTAAAACAGGACACAGCCACTATACGTGCTGGCCTCATATCAAATGTGAAGGCAGACTGAGTCTATGTTTGACGTTTTATATCTAATCTTCCTTTTCAAACATTTAAACAGCAGCGAGTCTGCAGCTGAGGGAATACAAACTCAAATTGTCTCCTGTTAACCCCGCCCCCTGAGTTTGATGGGTGAGGCTGACAGATAAAATTAATTCAAGATGAGAGCCAGGCGCCAGGACTGCCAAAATGAAATAAATAAATTAAATAAATATGAAATAAATAAGTTTCGTCTGCTGGGGGTTTGGGAGAACCCAGCCAGCGTCCTGCCTCGTCGGCTGGAGGGTCCAAGGAGCCCACCCAGCACATCCTCACATCAGCTGACGGTCCGGGGAAGTCTGTTGTCACCTGCTGACTCATTCCTTGCGACTTCTACATCATCGCCTGCAGCATTCACATCATTTTTCAGCACCCCCAAAAATGGGCTAAAATCGCCCCTGGTTTCCACTCCACGGCCGTATCGAGGTGCTAAGGTTTCAGCCACGTAAAACAATTAAGCAAGTTAGAAATTGTTTATCTAACTTAAAGCCATCAATCATCACCTATTCGACTGGAGTTACTTTGGTAACATATTACTTTTCTCATCTGAGAATATTAACCGCATCCTAAAGGGAATATTCAGTAATTTGGAATACCACTATATTCCAAAGCTAAAAGATTTAAATCAGCCTTTAAACCTTCACTAAGTCTATTTTCAGGATTAAAGCTCTTTCTTCTACATTCATGTTAGCATTTTCTCAACAGAAACTACAACATCTGTCAAGTGTTCAGTGCCCCAATGTTGAAAATAAATACACACAATCACAGTGGCACGTTATGACCTTTTTAAAAAAAACAACACAGTTCCTGTTTTTTCCTCTTACGATGCCATGGAAACCAGAAACTGGACCACAATAAACAGTCGCATCTGCAAATGGTTACTGAAATAGTGGTGCTAAATGGTTAGCTTGCAGAGGTAGATTCTTCAGTAATTTCTCAGTGTACCAACCTGAAAACACACGTATCAAGATTATTTATCCAGCAGCTCCTGGGAGCGGACAGTTGTGAGACCACAGATCTTCTGTATTGAACTTTGGCATAAGCTTTATTTCAATATTATTGAAATTAGCTGTATGTAATGATACATCTGTGGGATGGTTATGGATACATTTTAGCTAATGATCAGAATTTTCTTTGTAAAGATTTCACCAAAGATTGCTTGGCTCAACAACTCTTTGTCCACCTGGTTATAGAGCTGTAAAAAAAAGAAAATGGGATTGTTTTTATTATGTTCCTGTTTCACATCTCATTCTCCTTCACCCTGCTTCTCTCAGTATTCATGCTCCCATTTCCTTCTATTCATTCCCAGTTCAGGTTGAACCTAATTCCTTTTTGTAATGTTTGGTGTTTCACCCTTGTATTTGGATTATTGAGCTTCATGTGCTCAATAAAAGAGCTCACTTTTTCTTTAAATCTCCTCCTACCTCTGCATCTTCATCTTGTATTCTCACATACCACACACTGTCACACCACATGGACACTGTATGTCATTTTTTGCACCCCTGTGCATGTAAGTGTTTGCTCGCTGTCATTTGAAAACATGAATCTGTCATTCATAAAGCTTTGAAACTATCCCTACTAGTGCAGTGTTTGTCAATTCCACGACACTACTTTCTTCTGATGGTGACTATTTGCACTTACACTTTAGTCATAAAACTCACTGATCTTGGATGTGCACAGAATCAGCTTTTCCATGTTTGCATTATTTTGTTCATTGTGTGGCTAAAATTATCGTGGCTGAGTTTCTACTGGTTACACAAAGGTACGTCACAGAATGCACAGACTGGGCAAGTACTCTTTACTGGCATGCTTTCGCTTTGCTTTCATTGACACGGTGGGGAATTGTTAAGCACATGGAATATTCTGGAATGTTCATGTGCCTTAATACTGCTGGAGTTTCCTTCCTACCTTCCTTTGCTCAAATAAGTTTGTCTTGATGTTATTTTTGAGGGTTTTTTGTTATTTTTTTTCCTTTATTATTGTATGGTCTTTACCTTACAATATAAATTGCCTTGAGATGAATGTTGTCATTAGGTGCTAGAAGGGAATTGAATTAAATATTAATTGACAGTGTGTAGGAGGTCTAGTCATTTACATTCATATTTGTTGTTTTCAAGCAAAGATATCTCTCTTGCACACTGGGAATGTAGTCATGCAAGTTCCTGTGGAGAGGGGAGGAGCTGCTCTGCTGAGGTGAGGAGAAAACAAAGTACTATAATTTCAGTTTCTACAGTCATAGAAGCAGACGAGTGAAAAAGAAGGTGAGTGTTACTGAGTATTTATGGGGTGTCGGAAAAATAGCAAAACTATTTCTTACTGGAAGATATTACATTAATGTTTCTCAAGGTGGAACAAAAAGCTGGAAATTGTTAGGGTCTATTTCTGCACTCGAGTTTGTTGCACCATAGAATGAAAAAGAATGAAACATGATGGATGAAACTATATCTTTGGTTAATGGTGAGACTGACATTTTAACTTCTTGTGCTGAGCTGTCTCTCAGTGAGCTGTAGGAGAGTAAACTGGAGGGTGTGACACTATTTTATGTTACTAAAGCT